GGGGACAACACAAATGATAAAAAGAGGCTATTCACAGAAGTAATAGCTGAAAATTTCCCTAACATGAGAATGGAAACTGACATTAGCATTAGTGAAGAATATAGAACTCAAAATACCCATCACCAACACAAAACTACACCCAGACATATAATAATCAGCATCCCAGAAATCAAACATAAAAATTGAATATTAAAAGCTGTTAGAAGAGACAGATCGTCTATAAAGGAAAGCCTATCAGAATCACAGCAGACTTCTCTACACAAACAATGAAGTCAAGAACAGCATGGAGTGAAGTATTTTGGATCCTACAGGAAACTGATTTCCAACCTAGACTGATGTACCATGCAAAACTATTCATCAAAACTGATGGAGAAATAAGATACTTCCATAAAAAATAACAGCTAAAAAACTTCATAATCACCAAGCCAACTATGCAAAGAGTACTGAAAGACAGTTTAGATACACATAGGAAAAAACCCACAAAACAAGAAAACAAACAGAATGGAAGATAAAAAATGCAACAATAAAATGATAACATGTCAACAATAAACCAATATATAACAGTTATAACCAATAATATAAATGGTCTCAATTCACTAAATAAAAGAAACAGACTGGCAAAATGGATCAAGAAACAACATCCAACCATATGCTGTCTACAAGAAATGCATCAAACCCATAAGGAAACTCACAGATTCAAAGTCAAAGGATGAAAAACAATACTACATGCAACAAGGACCCATAAACAAGTGGAGGTAGCTATTCTGTTTGCATGCAATATGAACTTCAAACCAACAATGGTCTTAAGAGATTAAGAATGCCATTACATACTGGTTAGGGGAAAATTTTAAGAGGAAGAGATAAAAATCTTAAATATATATGCACCAAATTCCAGAGCACCCAATTATACAAAGCAAATAGTAATATAAATGAAAAATCAAATAAACTATACCACAATTATAACAGGAGATATTAACACACCATTGACATTAAACAGATCAACCAGACAGAAAATCAGCAAAGAAATAACAGAACTGAATCACACTTGTGCACAAGTGGACTTGATAGACATATACAGAGTGTTCCATTCAACATCAGAATATGCAATCTTCTCAGGGGTACATGGGGCATTGTTTAAAATGGACCATGTACTAACCCACAGAACATATTTAAATAAACGTCAAAAAGTTGAAATTATCCCATGCATGTTATCAGATCATAGCACCATGAAACTAAAAATTAATGATAAAAGAAAGTGCAAAAACCACACAAACAAATGGAAATTTAATAATACATTCTTGAGCAATCAGTGGGTCACAGGGGAAATTAAAGAAGAAATTAAAAAATATACCTACAAAAAATGAAAATACAAATACAACTTAATGGAATCTGTGAGATGCAATGAAAACAGTCCTGAGAGGAAAATTTATTGCACTGAGTTCCCATATCAGGAAAACAGAATGAATACAAATAAACAACCAGATGCTATACCTCAAACATCTAGAAAAAGAAGAGCAAGTCAGCCCAAAGCCAAAAGATGGGAGGAAATTATAAAAATCAGAGTAGAAATTAATGCAAGACAGACTAAGAAAACAATGCAAAGAATCAATGAATCAAAGTTTATTCTTTGAAAGAGTAAATACAATTGATGATCCCCTACCAACTTTATTAAAAAAGGAAAGAAAAATCTAAAATTCATGCAATAAGGAATGAAAAAGGTGAAATCTCTACAGACTGTGTAAATGCAGAAGATCATCAATGTCTGTTTCAAAAACCTCTTCTCTCATAGGTTCAGTAACATGGAAGAAATGGACAGATTCCTAGAAACATCTGAACTACCAAAGCTGGGTCAAGAAGATTTAAAACTACTGAATAACCCAATTTATATTAATGAAATTGAAAATGTAATTGTCCTTACCTAAAAAGAAAAGCCCAGGCCCAGACGTAGTCACTGCATAATTCTACAAGAAATACAAAGAAGACTTTATGCCGTCACTCCTCAAACTCTTCAACGAAATCTAAAGGAAAGCAATTCTTCCTAAATCATTCCTGGGAGCAAATATTACTGAAGTACTAAAACCTGAAAAAGACTCAACTAAAAAATAGAACTACGGGCCAATCTCCCTATGGAACACAGAATCAAAAATCCTCAATAAAATATTTGCAAACAGGATGCAGCAAATCATCAAGATGATTATACACCACAGCCAAATGGGACTCATCCCAGGCATGCAGGCATGGTTCAACATACATAAATCAATGAATGTAAACCACCATATCAACAAAGCCAAAAGTAAAAAATCACATGATCATTTCTATAGATGCAGAAAAAGCTTTTGATAATTTCTAACACACATTCATGATAACCTTACGGAAAATTGGAATAGATAGTCTTTGCTTCAATATGATAAAGGCCATCTATGACAAACCAACAGTCAGCATCATATTAAATGGCCAAAAACTGATTGCCTTTGGTCTAAAGGATGTACCTTATCACCACTACTATTCAACATAGTACGGGAAATACTAGCCAGAGCAATTAGACAAGAGAGAGAAGTACAAGGGGTAAAGATAGGAAAAGAGGAAGTTAAATTATCATTATTTGCAAATGACACGATACTCTACATAGAAGATCCCCTAAACTCCATTGAAATTCTCCTAGATATAATAAATAAATTCAGCAGTATAGCTGGATACAAAATCAATACTCAAAAATCAGTAGCATTCATATACAATAACAACAAAATCACTGAGAGACAAATAAGAGAAGCCACACCTTTCACACTAGCATCCAAAAAATGAAATAACTTAGGAATTAATCTCATGAAAGAAGTAAAAGATAGACATAGGTAAAATTATAATTCCCTGAAAAAAGAGAAAGAGAAAGAAAGAAAAAGAAAAAGTGAAAAAGAAGGAGAAAGAGAAAGATCAATGGATGAAGGAGATTTGCTTTAAGGAATTGGGACATACAGTGAGCAGAGATTTACAGTCCTAAAACCTACCGTTTGCAAGCAAGATGCCCAGGAAAGTTATGGGTATAATTTAGTCTGAGGGCAAAGGCCTGCGAATAAAGGTATATGATTGTGTAGAGGACAATAAGGGAAGGAAGAATATGTTTTCCCATATCCACAGATATCAGTAAGACAGGAAAAAAAAAAAAAACATTTAGTTTTCCATCACCCTCTTTGCTATCATTGCCCTATACAAATTTGCTGAAGCCCACTAACACTAGGCAAGCTAATCTGACTTTCTTATCGTATGTAGTATATATAAAATTGAAACAAGACAAACTCAATCATATATATATATATATATATATATATATATTTTTTTTTTTTTTTTTTTTTTTTTTTTTTTTAAATCGGAGATCGAACTCTCAACTGCATGCTTGCAGGCAGGTGCTTATGCCACTGAGCTAAATCCCCAGCCCAGTCATATACATATTATTTGGAGAAGAAATACAATTTTAAAAGCACATCAAATAAATTATTGACTCTATGTTTAAACTAAAGTATATCTTTAGAAAATTTCAGGAAGAACAATATCCATAGGAAAGTATACACAGGGGAATTCACATGCACTGGTATTTCTGAAGCAAGGAGGAAAACTGGATGCTATACAATGAAAATTATCTCAGTGACTTATGGATGATACTTACATTTCATATATCATAGAGAGTAAAATAAATCTGGCTACTTTTAAAAGACTGCTGCATGATGGGGTATGTTTAAAAGACATGCATTGATTGCTGCATGGTATAGCTATTTACAATATACTTCAGTTTAACATTTAGCATATATATGTATACACACAAATACATACAGACACACACATATGTGTATATATATATATATATATATATATATATGTATATGTCATCACTTACTCATGGTGATAAATTCCTTTCAGAAAACTGCATTTATGCCAATCAATCAACACATTTCTGAAAAATTCTATTCCTTCTGTCTACTCCATATATATTAGTGCTTGGGTCACCGAGGAATAGGCTGATATCATAAGTAATTTTTTATTTTTCTCAAAAATGTATTAATTGCAGTTTATTAGCAATGAACATTTAGACACAAAAATAGAGCTTCATTTTAAGTTATTTAAACATACATCTAATGGAATTGCATGCTGTCATCTGAAAGTAAGTAAACTGAAGATCTGGATAAATGGAGAAACACACGACATTATGACTTGGATCACAACAAAGTAGTGATGTCAGTTTCCCCTAACTTTTATTTAAATTGACATATCAATGCAATTCATACAATGATCTAGGCAGGCATTTTGAATACAGACAGGGCTATAACAAAATGCACGTGTGGTGTCACATCTAAGATAAATTTGAAAAACTGAACAGTCTACCAATCTGATTTTGAGATATTTCTTAGATACTGTATTCAAGGCATGGTATTGGCAGAGAGATAGACAGAGAACAGTACAAAAAAAAAAAAAAAGAACACCAGAAAACTCATATATGCACACAAAATCTTGGACAATAACATGAATAATATGTAATGTAGGAAAACTTCACCAAATAGTTATAGTTTAGGTCTAAAGTGACTTCCCCAAATTTAGGAGACAATCAAAAGTTTTTTTTTTCTTTGTAAATTGATTTATATTATAAAAAAGACAATGATAAGAGTTAGACAGAGGGGAAGCACAATTTTCAGCACCCATGGTATGTTGAAGTAATCATTTATCTCAATATAAACCTTTGTTATACTTGCTACAAGTTGCTTAAATATAAGGAAGCTGTGATTCAAGAAAATGTTTAGCAGACACACTGAAGATCAGTCAGTCAGCATTAGCATTGAACAGCTGACACCATTTATGTTGACTGTTAGTATCGCCTTCTCACTGTGATAAGGACATTGTTTAAAGAATAATTTCTGAAATGCCATACATTAAATTATTTAGTTCGATGTTATTGTTTTCTTTCATATTAATCACATCACTTAAATTTTAATTTCTCTTCCAATGGAAGGAACTGGTTAATGTAAGTTTTTCCTTGAAATATTATCTGATCTCAGAAGAATTACATAACACTTGGGGAGAAATATACAACCCAGCAATCCAGCACTGGAAGACAGGATTGCAAAAATTTCCAAAGCCACCATGGTCTTTCCTTTAGAGCTCAGGTAGGAAGGTATAAAAGAAATCCACACGCTACAGAAGACCAGCATGCTAAATGTGATCATTTTTGCCTCATTGAATCTGTCTGGAAGTCTCCTAGCCAGAAAAGCAAGAACTAAGCTCAGAAATGCCAGAAATCCTAAATAACCCAGAACACAGTAGAAGGCAACATTAGACCCTTCATTACACTGAAGTATGATTTGTTCAAACTCCGATTGTGTGTCAGTGTCTGGAAAGGGAGGAGAGATTATTATCCAGGCTGTGCAGATGCACACTTGAATGAGTGAGCAACTGCAGACTATAACATTTGAAAATCGAGTAACCATCCACATTTGCATTGAGTTTCCTGGTTTGACAGATTTGAAGGCGACAACCACAATGAAAGTCTTTGCTAATATAGCAGACACAGCTATGGAAAATACAACTCCAAAGAATGTTTGTCTCAGAATGCAAGTAACCGGACTGGGAAGACCAATAAATGTCAAGGAGCAAAAGAAGCAGAGGATTAAGGAAATGAGGAGAATATAACTCAGGTTCCTATTGTTTGCTCTCACAATGGGTGTATCTCGGTATTGGACAAAAAGTCCAAGAATCAGAGCTGTGAGGACAGATAAACTAATGGCTGTAGAGGCCAACGCAACTCCCAGAGTATCTTCATAGGATAAAAATGTCATGACTTTGGAGAGACACTGATTTCTCTGCATATTTGGATACTGGTCTTCAGGACACTTGACACATTGATCCATATCTGAAAGTGAATGAACATATTTTATTACATCAGGCCCTTCCTTACTATATGTGTAGAAACACTGCATCTTGAACTGTTTTTCCAATCTGAAGAAAAAAATCAAGTTATAGTCACTGAATTATTACATTGGAAGAGATGATGATTCTTGATCAGAGGAAATAACTGAATACACTTTGGAATCATATGAAATACAAAAATTAAATTTAATTGAACAATTAAAGAAATCAAGAATCCAGAATTTGGCAACTGATGAAGAAAAAACTTCAGACTTCATGAAAAAAAAATTTGATTGCAAATGGAGAGAAGAAAGCCTCTGATAGTCAAACTTCTAAGTGTGGGAGGCCATGAAGAGAAATTTTCTTAGTGTTTAAAGAGTATCAGCAAAAAGTATACCATTATTCATCTAAAAAACAAAATACTGATAGAAATAAGTTTCCTTGGACAATATACTTCCTCATCAGAAAATGTACTAATTTAAGTCTTTAAAAAAAAAAAAAAAAACCTTCACTGTAATTTCAAATGTAATATAATTGGGCACTAAACTTCTAATGTGTTTATTGCAATTCCCTTTGCTCAATCATTCTTAGTTTATCCATATTTTCTTTAAAGAAATGGATATATAGAAGTAAATATTTGTAGTAAATTTCAAAAGAAATAATGTAAGTTAAATTTTATCTTTTGAGCTTTGACATCACTTATTGTGATAGAAATGCAAAGGGGATTTGGCTGTTGTTATTTTTCTCTTCTTCAGGCAGTGTTTCACTGTGATGTTCACGCTGGACTTGAACACACTTTGTGGTCCACCTTGGCCTTCAACTCACAGTAATCTTCCTTCCTCGACCTCCTGCGTGATGGAATTACAGGTTTGTATCACTATGCTGGCCTAGAAGATGTTATTAATTAGAAAATAATTAAATATTTCACCAAAACTGTATTTCCCAAAATATTCCTGATTGTATGGAATTATTTATTGATTTAATTATATATTGTTTATAAACCTTGCAAAGAGTGATGTGCATTAATTGATAATTAGGAAAATGACTCTGTTTTGGTCCTTATCAAATATATCTAAAATTTGTCATTACCTGTACTATTATTTGATTTCTTATATATCCACTTTAACACGTGTATATTGTTCAGCTTTCCCATCTTTAGGACCAAATACATCACACATGCAAGTTAAAAGAACAACAGCTTAGTTTGCTCCATATATTCAGATGTTTCAATCCAGGATTGACTGAATTCAACACAAATTATTATAGTAGAAGGCAGCATAAAGCAGACATTTTCACTTCATAGCTGCAGTTAACAAAAGCAGAGGAAACATAGCAATTGGAAGATGCCAAGGGACAAGATTTAATGCTTTCACCCAGAGAGATTCAGAAGTGTAGTTTACTAATCTTAGTGCCTCTCATCCTGAGCAGGTTGACAGTGCATGTTAACTGATTCTTTCCAACTCTTGTCAACTTCATATTCAAACACACCTCTTTTAACCATACATAAACTTCAAGTAAACACAAGGTGGTTAACTCTACTTCCCATGATACAATAATCCTGGATACAACCAATGTATTAATTTTTTCCTCAAAATTTCAGCAATGCTTATGTTTTCTAATTCTCCTCATAGAATCAAAGTAAACTCTTAGCTCTAAAGCATAGAATTTTTTTAAAAAAAACTTAAGTATTCCCAATATACAAATATACAGGGTAAACATTCCAATTTCTGAAAGGAAAAAATAAGGAACTAGAAAAGAATGAGACCACAGCAAAACTGAAACCCACCAGAGCAAACGGTAAGTACTCTGACTCATGCCTGTTGATGAGGCAAGTAATGTGGTGATGAGGTATTAGTTCCAGAGTATTTTGTGGGGGAGAAGATCCTTCAATGATGACCTAGCACAGGGCTAGCAAACTTGTAGCAGAAGTGCTGCAGCAGGCTTTTTTTTTTTTTTTTTTTTTTTTTTTTTTTATCACTGAAAGCTCTGAGATGTTCACCATTACGGGCCTCCCCTATTGTTTATTGTACCTAGTATGGCCTTTTGGGCTGGCATAGCTTAATCTCAAAAGCTTTCCACATGTGACCCATATTCTTGGCCTCTTCGATGTGTTATTACCTCCATTTGTGCTTTAATTTCATTCCTGAAGCTTCATGCATCCACTTGTCAGGGATACAATGCCTGATATCACAGGCTGTCCTTTAAAGAGTAGGTTCCCCAGCAACTCTTGCATCCATAACTCTCATAACTCTTATGAAACCTGTGTTACATGTATGGCAGCCAGAGGAGTAGGCAGGAACCCTTAAACTGTGGCTGCAGTCGCCTCTGAATCCATGAGAAACTTTGAAAGACCAAAGTGAAAGCCTGTTAGAAGACCAAGGTTATATGCTGCCTTTCTTGAGCTGGAGGCCCTGGAATGCTCTTCACAGAGCAAAATTTGGCACTTTGGACTGTAGCCTCCATTTCCTTTCAGAAATGGAGTTTTGCTGATTCTTGCAATACTGCAAGTCATCATTCTTCCTATAATAGTACAAAATACTTGGATTCTTTTCTTTAATTAGTGCATATTTTCTATGTAAAACAGTTATATTCATTTTACAAAATGGCACATGTATATGACCTTTTTTTATTGCTTTTGATCCTTTTTCCCTCTCTCATCACTGTCTCTCCTGCCTCTGGTCCTCTTCTCCAAATAAAAATTTTGTCTTTGTGTTTCCTTCAAATTTTAATTTTAATTGTTTTTTATGTCTTATATAAGAGAAACCATGCAATATATAACTTTCTGTGTCTGAGTTGTTTCATTTAACATTATCATATCTCATCCATTTTTCTTCAAATAACACCATTTAATTCTTTATGATGGGTAATTTTAAATTGTTTGTATATACCATAGTTTCTTTGTACACACATCTACTAATGGCCATCTAAATTTGCCCATATTTTACACATTGTAAATTGATCTGGTAGAAACACAATTATTATTGTATCACCACAGGAATATGTCTTTGTTTTTTTGAGAATATACTCAAGATGAAAATATCTGGGTAAATTGTAATTGCTAGTTTTAGTTTACTCAGGAATTTCTATCGCAGTTTCCATAGTGCAAACCCTGGTTTACAATCCCACCAAGAATGCAGAGAGGTTGCCCGGTTTCTACAACCTCATATGCATTCAGTGTTTTGGATTTATTCATAGTCAATCTGACTCAGTCAAAATGGAATCTCAGAGGCTATCTTTCTTTGATTTTCCATAACACCTAAAACTGATACTTTTTTCAATTTCTTACCAGATGTTTGTAATTCTTTGAAAAGTGTCTGTTCACATGATTTTCTCAATTTTGAGTGGGTCATTCCTTTTGAGGTGCTATTTTTATAGTGCTTTGTGTGTTATCATTATTATTCTGGCACAAGTGTAGTTGATAAAATTATTTTTCTCATTCTCAGAAATGACTTTCAGTATTACAGGTTGTTAACTTGCCACGCAGAAGCTTTTTAATTTGATGGAATTCCACTTGTGTATTTTCTATATTCTTAAAGTTTTGTTCAGCAAATACTTGGCTATGCTTATGTCTTCAAATGTTTACCATATGTTATCTTCCACTGATTCCAAATATTCTACCTTTATATCTAGATCTTAGATGCACAATTGTTTTGCTATTACTACTGATTGAAATATATGTATCTATTAATTTCTTTCACAATAAATCTCCCTTAATTTCAAATTTACCAACGATTCATTCTGGACAAAAATTTAACATTTGCCTATGTTGTTCTGGTTTCATTTCTCATCTCGTTGTAAATCTATCTAAAATTAGGCAGCAGTTCCATGTGACGATGTGGATGTATTCATGCTTGGCATTCCTCTGCCAGGTGCGCTAATTTATAACTCTTAAATTTAGCTTTCTGAAAAGTCTCAGGACATGGGCAAAATATAAACAAATAATCATAAAGAATGTAACATACACTAACCCTAGGCCATTTTCCAGCGGAGTTTGTATCTGGATTCTTATGAGCCTCACCTTACTGTCTATATTCCTTTCAGCATTCTGTTCCAACCTCTACCCAGGACTCCTCTATCGGGGTTTGTTTACAATATCCTAGTGATTCTTTAACCCTCTTCTTCAAACCTCTAAAAGATCTGGATGAAAGCACACTCAAAGGCTTTGAAAGCACATATTCAACTCATGGTCATGGCAATGAATCCATTTTTAATACTATTTACCTATGTTGTTCTCATCCCTGATGTTTTCCTTTTCAGCAGTAATGGTGTGAGAATTTTGTCTCTACCCACACTCTTCTGCCATCAGGTTTCTGCCTTGAATTCAGCCAACCATGAACTGAATCTGTGATACCATAAGCATTAAACTTAGGCTCTTCTTAGTTGTGATTCTTGTGTATCATGTCTCAACATCTGGAAAGCTGCACAATAAAGTAAGCACACATATATTGAAGTTTCCAAAAAAAAAAACTAAAGAACACAGGAACTCTGAATGTAGTAAATTCAAAGGAGTGAAATCATGCAATTAATTATTACAATAAAATTTTCTCAACGTTGAAATAAGCATATCAATAATGATAGGAAGCTAATGGACAGCAACAATGTCCATGGCACCTCCATTTGATCTCCATTAAGTACCCAAAATTTTATGTGCTCTAAAAACCTTCCAAACTGGAGTGTTTCTCCAAAAGATTTTCCTCCTTCCTGGACATAAATAATACATAATTATGTACCTAGTTACTGAAACTTAAATTGGAATCACTTCATTTGAGTTTAACACCATTTCACATACCCTATGCAGTATATCAGGTTGTTTCCCTTTCATATATTGTGGATCATTTTACTTTTGAACAATTTCTTCTCATTTCACATGTTTATTGTATACTGTAGACCTTACTTAATCTTTCAGTTTCTCATATAAGGGATATAATATGTTTACTCATGTGATACTGATTTGTTTCACTTGAAAATATGGTCTCAAGTTGAGGAATGCAAGGAGGGTTCAACATACATAAATCAATAAAAGTAATACACCATGGCAACAAAGCCAAAGACAAAAATCACATGATCATCTCAACAGAAGCAAAAAAAAAAAAAGAACACGCTTTGCCTAAGTCCAATGCTCATTTATGACAAAAATGTACATAAAATTCTAATACATGGTCTTTATTCTGATCTGGTAAATCCATCTAAGATAAATGTATGCAAAATAGCTAAAAATTTGAGGATTTCATTCTCAAATCAAGAACAAGACAAGAATGTCCACTGTCACCTTTCTTATGCAATATAATTCTGGAAATAGTATAGCAATTAGACAAGTGAGAAAAAGATTAGGCATTAGAAAGGAAGAAGTCAAGTTATCATGACTTCCATATGACATGATACTGTACATAGAAGAAACCAGTAAACTCCCCCCAAAATTATCATTTTAATACATGCATTCATTGTGAACACAGAATTGAAAATTATGATGGAATTCATACAAACAGCAGGAAGAATTTGTGTTGGCAATACTCAAATATTAAGTAGTTGGAATAGTTCACTGACTTACAGTTATGACACGTACATGTGCTCTGCTGATGCTCAACTGCTGAAGAGCCCTTTATTTGAGAAGAGGCACCTGAGATTAACTCTAATTATAAAGTAAGAGTTCAAAGAGATACTTTCTCACATCACTTTTGAGATTAGTAAATATTTTGCTACAATACAGCTTTATTTTGGCTGAGAGCAAAAGTGAAAGAAGGGAGTATGGTTAAAATAAAAAAAAATACTCCAAGAACTATAATACTTTTACAAAGAAAATTATTCAAAAAATATTCATTTATGAAATATTTACTTACGAGGATTCTATGTTGAGCTGGGAAGAGTATCTAAAGCATTGTGACCTTAGGCTACCAGAAGAGTAATGATGTAGCTGTGTATAATATAATGTTCTTAAGACAAATTCTGATGTGACATTGATCTGGATTTTGTGTCAACTGTGTCTTATTACATGACCTTGGCAACTTGTATAATCTTTCTGAAATTAAATTTTTTGAAAAATTTTATTTAAAGAAAGACTAAACAAATCAGAAAATGAGTAGAAGTAATACATATGTTCAGAGAAAAAATAAACAGTAAGAAATCAGTAGTTAATATTTACATACTGTCCTTTTACAAATAGTTGTTCAAGACCCAAATGTGGAACATATAAAGTGGGAATTCAAACAGTGAGGCTGCAGACAGTTCTGTTCAGCAATCCAACAAAAAATTAGTAATATGGTTATCAATACTATATACTTAAATGCACATGCAGCTATCAATATATTCATTTATGTTGAGATTAAACAAACTCAACCAGGCTAAAATCATTCTGAGCAAAGAGTAATAGTATTGCTGGATTTCACATCATGACACTCCAGGATCAGCGCTCGGTATGGTGGTGTCTTTTAAAAATTTTACTTAAAGAAAGACTAAAAAAAAAATAGAGAATTGGTAGAAATAATACATACTTTCAAGGAAAAAAATGAACAGTAAGAAATCACTAGTTGATGATTACTGGTTTTCCTCTTACAAATAGTAAAGTGCAGCATATAAAGTGGGGATTAAAACAGTGAGACTGTAACCTGTTTTGTTCAACTATCCAACAAAAACTTAGAAATATTTAGCTCAGTGGCATAAGTGCCTGCCTTGCAAGCAAGCAGTGATGAGTTCGATCCCTGGTACCGATAAAAAGACCAAAAAAAAAACAAACAAACAAACAAACAAAAAAAAAAAAAAAACCCTTAGAAACCTAGAAATATGGTTATCAATCCTATACACTTAAACATACATACAGTTATCAATTATGTTGAGACTGAACAAACTCAAACAGACTAATATCACTCTAACCAAAGAATAGTACTATTGCTGGGTTTCACATTATGGGTTTTAAATCCTGATACACTATTTACAATATCTTCTGACATCTTATTAAGACTCTCCCTCCCCTTTCACTTCCCCAGGGTACACTGTGCATTTTTGGGTCTCACCAAACTCTTGGTTTTAAAATGGGGTGGCGCACAACCTGCTATTTACCTAAGTGGTTCTGAATCTTCTCTCTCCTGAATTTGATCTCTAATTGTGTTCCTTTACCTGTTAAAGCCTGTCTTTCCAACCTATCCATAAATACTGATCTAGTTGCCCTTATTACTCTATGGTTCTCTTTCACATAGAGCATTATTTTCTCATATTTGATTTTCAGTCCATGTGCTCTTTATCATGTTAATTATATTTCCCATAAATACCATCTTGATGGACCCTGCCTTCTGATCTACTCCACCTGTGGTTCTTTATTTTTTTTAATTTAGTGTATCAAGGCCATGTATATTAGCGATTATAACTAACCTTCTCTGTCTCATTTCTGCTAAGCTCTTTTTTTGCCATCAGTTGTCTGCTTATCTTCTCCATTCTGTTTTGTGCTGCATTCATTGAGGCTTCTCTGCCACTGTTCCTGGAATCCTAGTATTTTTCTCTCTCTCTAGAATGCCGTGAAGTATTCTCTATAGAGTTGGATTGGTAGTTGTGAATTTCCAAAGTTCCTCTTTTTCTTGGGAGCATTTGTTTCTCCATTAATTTCTAGAGACAGTTTAGCAAGATATATCAATCTGGGTTGGAGGTTATTTTCTTTCAGGGCATGGAATATTTCACTCCAGGCTCTTCTTGACTTGATGGTTTGTGTCAAGAAGTCTGCCATTATTCTGATGGGCCTTCCTCTGTAGGTTATCAGTTTCTTGTCTCTAACAGCTTTTAATATTCTGTTCTTATATTGAATTTCTGGGATCTTGATTATTATATGCCTGGGTATAGCTCTGTTTTTGATGTAGGTGGCTGGAGCTCTGTATGCCTCATACATCTTAATATCATTTCCTTTTCCTGTGTTTGAGAATTTTCCTTAATTATTTCTGTGAATAGACTTTGTAGTTCCTTTGTTTGTACCCCTGCTTCTTCATTCACATTCTTTATTCTCAAGTAGTAGATCCTCTTGTCATCTTCCAGCCTTTTCATTGTTACTGCTTGTTTCCTTGTTATTTTTAAAAAGATTTCCCTTTCATACTCCCATATTGCAAAACTGTCCTCCAGTTTGTATAATCTATCCTTAGTTTGTTTCAATCAGGTTTGCCATCTTTCCATAGAGTTTTTGATTTCCTGGTAATCTTTTGAATCTGCTTCATGTGTTCTATATTTTCTTTATATTCTTTATCAAATGAGTCTCTCCTTTGTTTGAGTTCCTCCTTTCTTCCATCTGTGTCTGGTTGAGGGGTGCTTAGCAACTTTTTTTTTTTTTTTGTCTTTTTCGTTTTTATCAGTACCAGGGATCGAACTCACAACTGCCTGCTTGCAAGGCAGGCACTTACGCCGCTGAGCTAAATCCCCAGCCCCTTAGCAATTCTTTTGTTACTCTTCTTATATCTTGCTTTACTTGGCTAAATATTTCACTTTTGAACTCATCTCTGAGGTCCAAAGATATCTCTCTATGTCCCCTGGTGCTGTGTCTGATATTGCATATTTGCTGTTCTCATTTTCCTTTGTATTTACTTGTCCTGGGCCATTGTTCTCAGGATTGGGATCTGGGGACTTTTTGTTGTTGCTTCCTCTTCCCATCTTTTTGTTTCTTCCAGGAGGCCCCAGTTTCTTTCTTTGTTTGTTACAATTCTTCTGAAGCAAGCTGGCTTGGTGACCCTTCCCACTGCAGTGTGCTAGTGAGTTGTAGAGATGGGCAGCACATGCTGGCCACTCCCATTCAGATCAGTCAAGCTGCTGAGGTCTGCACTGTATTACTATGCACCTCTTCCCCTCCAGATCAGTCAAACTTCTGAGGCTTCACTTCATTAGTGTGGTTAGTGTGCACTGCCACCATAGAGAATTGATTTTGGATAACCTATTTTGTCTCCGCCATGTCACATGGACCCAGGTCTAGCTCACTCCAACAATCATGTTTGGGAAGGAAAAACTGAATGAAGTCACTGCTGCTCCTTGTATTTGCCAGTCCTGCTTCGTCCCAGAATGTCATCCGCCAGAGCCCCCCTTCTGTGGAATGGCTCCACTCCTATCATTCACCACAAGTTGATGCAGGCTCCCAAACAGCTCAGTTGTCCATTCAACTGGCCGACCCCTGATCTTTGTGTGACTGCACCTCCAGTGATTTGAAGCAGGGGGACCTCAAATGGCTCGGCAAGTGACCCGCTGTGGTGGGAACACTGAACCTTTAGCTGTTCCAATAATATCACTGGGACTGTATGTTTGATTAGTTCTTCTCACCTTAGTTTCTTCTTGGGATGAGAGAATTCATCTCCCTCTGTTCAGGGCTCCCCATGCTGTATTATGTTGCATTCTAAGTTGACTATCTCAGAGAGCCTTTGTAACTGCTGTTATCTATCCACCATCTTTGCTCTCCCCCATGAAGTTCAATTTATTAATGAGTGAAATCTTTTATATATCTTGAAGTGTCATTTTTATTATAAACAATATAATGTTTTTACATTAAACATTATAGATTTTAATAACTCAGGAGGTCTTACTATTTGTTAGGTACAGTTATACTGTAGCTACAGTAAAGCAACTAATAAAAGTATGTGTAGTAAGAGAACTGAATTCAATAGATAGGCTGAAAGTATAGGTGAGCCACACACCATGATGCACACATGTGTTACCAGCTACACAGAAGGCTGAGGCAGAAAGAAAAGTTGACCCAGGATTTTGAAGCTACAATAAATAACATTATATGTAAAAATAAAATTAAATACATAAATAAATAACTTGAAATCAAGAAATTAGAATATTGTCAATTAATTATGTAAGTATATACTGAGGCATTACAGAGCCAGTTCACATTGTATTATCTCTACATTAAAAAATAAATTTTGGAAACATTTACCTGTTTTATTTGCAATCTCCCTATTAGGACAGGGAATGCAATCAAAGCAACAGAATGATTTTCCTTCCACAACGGTTTTTCTGAATCCAAGTGGGCAACTTGGGCTGCAAACAGCAGAAGGAGTCTTTGCAAGATGTAGGAGAAAGGAAATGTACTTCATAAACAGTAGCAGCAGACAGGTAGGAGTTTTCAAGAGAACTTTTGTGCAGTTTAAAAACTTAGCCAAAGATTAATAAAATTGTGCTTAAAATTTTGAGGGGGTACAAGTGATAAAGAAGGTTAATGGAATTTAGTGTTAATGGTAAACATTGTCTAAAACTTCATGATATTTATCCCCAAATACTCATCTTGCATCTATTTCTTAAGTCTGTTATTCTCCTTAGTATCAATGACATAAAATCTGTGATATCTATGATCTAAAATATAGCCTGAGTTGATTTTCTCTTACCTAGGCAACTATTTGATCATGATAAATACAGGCAATTTCCCTCATGACTCAAAAGTAATGCCTGATTCAGATCAGGTGTCCAATCATTACAGTAAACAAACAAATAAGGTGTTGTCTGTCTTATAGATTTCAAAGCTTTACTTAAATTTTGTGCTTTTTACACATTTTGCTTTGAGGATGGTTACCATAATGTGTACTTTTGAAGACAGTGCTTACCTCATTACGGTGTTCACCCCACATCATCAGTTTATCATTGAAGGATAAATGTGGAGCCTTATGTGATTCAAAGATGAACTCTCCAACTTTCACTTGAGCTTTAGTACCATTCAGCAAGGACTGGTAATTAAAGATGTCAAGCTTGGTTTTTGAAGTTCTCTCATTGACATTTTTCTGCCTACTGTTACTTCTTTCAAGTTGGGATTCTTCCAATAAAGGATGGAGCTAAAATTGAAAATTAGTTGTCAGAAATTGAGGAAACAAGGCATCAAAGCAGGAATAAACCTTATTATTTCAATAATATTCTTTCCCTCTATGTTATCTAATAAATTGCTTTTATTGGATTATATATCAAACTTGGTCCAGTAATGTGTGTGTGTGTGTGTGTGTGTGTGTGTGTGTGTGTGTGTGTGTATAATGTTTGTTACATCAGAAAAAAAATTAACCAACTTAAGAAACCTGATTCTATATGAAATAGCCTTTCTAACCAGAAATTAGGAAAATAGAAGCAAAAAATAAAAGGAAAAATGGAAATTTCACAAAAATATGAAATTTAACATTTGTGACATCAGAATAACAGTAAAAAATCTATCTTAACTCAAAATTGTAAAGACAGCATGAAAGAAAATAAAACAAAAGCACTTCCTTTTAAAAACAACTTACAACAAGAAATACATTAAGGATAAGGTAAAATCATAGGATACTACACTTCTAGGAACCAAAAATAGTAATATTTGCAATATTTTGAAATTTTGAATTGAAAAGAAAATTCACAAATATATTTTATAAGTCCATTATTATGCCCAAGAGGTAAAATGTGGAAGCAATTTTAAGTCTCACTTAGGAAATGAATATTTTTTTTAAAACCCACATATCTAAAAAGGAATATTATTCAGTCTCAAGAAAGCAGAAAATTCTGTGATTTTTGCATAATTTATGAACTCAAAATGACAGGAAATACATGTTAAGCTATCAGGGATTGAGTAATGTTAGAAATGGGTACATGCTGCTCAAATAGAAGAAACTTGTAGTTATACAAAGAGCTGGTACTGGAGACCTAAAATAAGCCTGGTATCTATTATTTTATTCATATTTTATATTTGAAATCTGATAAAAAGTACACACACACACCCCAATGAGTAACTATATGAAGCTATGCTAAGCTAATTAGCTTAATTTTAAAAGTGATTTCACAATGTCTACATATGCAGTGGACACCAAAAATTCACAGGGATTGTGCTCCCACATCATGCTTGGCTGTGAAAAGCTGAATTTCAGATATGATCAGCAAAATGCCTGTAGAAACTTTTATTAATATTTTAAAACTTATTGTATTATTTTATGTAGTTATGTACTTTAATTTAATAAAATACTATTTATAAAAGTATAGAAGATTCAGGGCATTGTGGTGGCATCTTAGAGCTTTTGGGGCTTTTGGAAGAAAAAAGCCAAGGACACTTTCTACAGCAACATGTTATCATGAGCAAATGCAGATGCTTCTCTCTGAGACAGGTTACAAGGCACCAGCCAGAGAGCATCAAAGAGAACTTAGTCACTCTCTTGCATTGGCTACTTGCAAACTTTATATGAAAAGCAATTACTGAGGATATTTATGGTTTCCAGTAAATTTCTGGGATTTCAGTGAACAGCTACTAGTTAGGTTGCAAGGAAAATATGACAAGGATTGAGGCCACGAGCTCTGAGCCACTTCACAGGGCTGTATTGTAGAAAAATGTGTTGATTCCCTGGAATATGCAAAATTTTGTCAACCATATCTCAGTGAAACTGGAAAGAAGTGAAAAGTACAAACAGATCTTTCTCAATTACATGCAAGCAAATGAAATGTAACAAAATAAACTGCATGCATTATAACTAAGCATATTTTAACAATTTGAAATTAAGGAAACTTATTTTGTTCAAGCATGAAATAATATTAAAATTGCATTCCCATTATTATAGATTTAGAATTCCTTGAAAATTTGGCATAAATATAGCTTTCATCACTTAGTAAATATCATTAACTATTATCAAATTTTTCTAATGAAGGTCGCAAACAAACAAGAATATGTTCCAGCTATCTCCACTTCAATTCAGTGCTTAGAAAAGGGTCTCTAGTCTAACAAGCTAAAAAGGAAATGCTGTAGAGCCATAAGCCTAGAAATAAAGTAGTATCTTTTCAGGTTTTCTCATGATGCACAAGCAAAACTGCAAGCATGTGCACAAAACCATTGAACTGCAAGCAAATAATTTAAATATTTATTACACTTTTATAAAATTTTAAGTTACATTCAAAAATTTAAAAATAAATTAGGAACAGTTTAAGTAAACTATAAATATGTAATTAATTTTAACAATATAGAAATTAAATTGAAAAGAAGTTGCATCAACTTCTATATTTCAGGTGATTCACTATTTAGAACTGCAAAATGTGGAACTGACTAGGGAAGAAAAATAATGAGTCAAGATATGTACACAGAAATCACTAATTTAAATGTGATAGTACAAAGGAATAGATAAAGAAGTTTTTTGTTTCATTATTTTTTAGGCTAACTGGTTTTAAAATTAGCTTGGAAAATAATTTTACTGGAATGCTTTTTTACTGGAAAACATTATCTTGTTCCCACGATGTGCTTGCATTATTTAACAATAAAGACAAAAATCAGTTTCACATCTATTGTTGTCTAAATTTAAAAACAAACAAACAAACAAGCAAAATGTTTAGAAGAAAGCTAAGGTGCTAAAGAATACCCTTCACTATTGTTAAGCAAAGAGACCACTCAAGGACAGGAAGAATAATGTGGAAAAATAAGTTAGAGTATTTTAAAATTAAGTATTTTTCTTAGCCATAAATGAAAATGAGAAGTCTATTCACAGAGGAGAACATATTCTCAGTGAAAATAATGAAAAGAATATGGTGAAATACAATTTAAACTTTTATAAATGAAAAAGGTAGCAAAAATATAAAATTATGCTGAAGAATGAAAAATGAATACATGAGAAAGAGTTCTGTTCTTGATAAATAAATGATTGACTGCTTAAACAGTTATCAGTACCTATGGTAAAGTGCCAAACAACAAGATAAATGAGAATGAATTATTCTTATGCTAGCCCATTTTCATGCACCAATAAGGATAATATTTAAACTATGAAGCAGATTATTAATATTTTAAAAGTATTTACTTTCCCATACTTACCTATTTGGACATAGATTTTAGGTGTCGCCAGAAGAACACAGGACAACCTTATCTTAGTTCACTAAGAAAATTAACACCATTGAACTTTTGCTAATAGGACAAATAGATTGTGCTGCCTCTTGCCCAATAACACGAAATAGGATAGTTTGGGATGCACCATTAAAATTTTAAAGCTATCAAAGGTTAAATCATGGGATATTGAAGTTATGAATAATGTGTATAACAAATGGACAGTCCTTAAGTGGTCTTCCATAAACTGCAATACTTAGGCTTCTTTTAATTGCCATAGTAAAAGGAGAGATGTTCCTGGAAATCATTCAGAAGTAATATCAGAGCAAGGCTTTGTTACACTTTAGAAAATCTAGCATTTTGATCTTGAAAACAAAAATGACAGGATATTTGAGTGTCTTGAAACAAGACTATAGAAGGAAAGAAACATGGGCTTCATACAAAGAGTGTAAGCCTACCTAGTTAAATGAATTAACTCATACTGCAAAGTTAAGTCAGTTTTATTTCTAACATAGAATTTAAAAAAAAAAAACAGTGAAAAAGACAGAAAAATAACAATTCATGGCACGTTGTCTAGGTATGTAGAAGAAAGAATTTTGGTTACCTGCCATGGATGAGGAGTCACATAGGCACTTTGGTCCAGTGGTTCTTCTTCAACTCTGAGTGAGAGTTCTTTGTGAAGAGCCTGGGCAATTACATACACAGCAGCATAAACATTGAAACTCTGGGGTGATGTGTTCATATCCCAAACATGGAGAGTATGAGTTTCCAGGCTACTATTTTGTTCACATTGACTCAATGTCTTGATTCCATCTTGATCCAAATATGAACATTCAAATAATGTAGACCAAACATCCTGGAGAAAGATATCATTAGGGTATTTTGCAGGCTGAACAGTTCTAACAAAATCTTTAAAACCGAGAATCTCTTCTGTGTGGAAAGAAAAAGATAATCCTCCTCCAAAATACTTGTAACTCTGACTTTGTTGAAAAGGTAATGTAGTTATATCCCAATCAGTAGTTGTGACCCAGATATTACCAAATGGAATAAAGCAATGGATGTTGTATACTAATCTTAGAAGAGAGTATGTGTCACCAAATGCAACACTGATGCTTGTAGACATGAATCTTTTAAAAAAGAGTTGCCTGTTTAGTGTATCTTTAGCAGGAAACTCTGGAACCCTTTCTGCAAATGCCACACACAGTCCATTGTTGTTCATTTCTTGTGTCATGTCCTGGAGAAATATTTCTCCCCTGATGTCATCTGGAACCACAAGTCCGACCCAGACCCAGCCAAAATGCAGCATGAGTTGAATGAGGCCCTGATACAGAGCTGCAGTGTTCGTAGGAAACTGGTAAATAGACTGGAGCTGGATATTTTCTCTGAGACTGCGGTCAAATGGACCATAGCTGATCTAAACAGAAAACATAGGTACTGCTTACAATAATTTTGAATATTTATTCACTAATGATTTAACTTGTCTTATCTGTTACATGAACTGTAATAAAACAATGGAGTGATTAAGAAGACCCATTTATCATATATAATAATTCTATAAAATTTCACTACTAATATTACATATATTCCTTTCTTTATTGTTTTAAGAAACTTATCCAATATAGAGCCATAAAAAGTGTTAATCACTTTGAGTTATGAGAAAGAAATAGTGAACATACTTTGCAAACCCAAAAAATCCTGTACTAAGTTCTACCATTTTTGGATCATGGAAATAAGTAACGTTTTGTGTTGAAGATATGAATATAAGCCAAATTATAGGAAACAAAATATACGAAGCATTTTTCAATTCACTAAAAAATGTTTGTATTTTGCTATGAATTCCTATGCTTTCCTTTGATGACTATGTTTTGTATGTCTAATTAACTGTCCCAAGATGAGACAGCTTGGAATACACCTAGTTATTTTATCTCTCATTTGGTATAGTCTCCCTCTAGTACCCTGTAGTTTCCAGCATGTCACAGCGCTGTTTACCTAAAACTCTTTTTATTAATTGTCTATGGAGCTATCTCCAATTATTTCTCAACTTTCAAGTATCTTCATTACTTTTCCCTTTTTAAGGCATAAAGTCACTGAATTTGTAACAGGTTAAATGACATGACTTATTCTCAGAATTCGTTTTGACTAATCTACCTTAAAAATTGATACTTGTGTTTTTATAGAAAAATCTTCCATATTCAGTTTTCAGAATCCCATTTCCTTAAGTAGTATGCTTTCAGAATATAAAGTATATTATCAGTCTTTTTTTTACCAACACTTACACTTCTCCTCAAGTTCTTAATATCAGAATTACAGGATTTCACTTTCTTTTTAATTTTTAAAGAGAAAAAGAAAATATAGAAATAAATTTAAAAAATAATTTCAAATCAAGCTAATAGAATAATTAATGCATTACGTATTTTTCTCTTCACAGCAGTTGCCTTGGTTACAAGATACAGGCATGAAACATTATCCAAACAATACTAGACAAAAGTCTGTTTTCAATGAATGAAGAGAAACTTATTCTATAACTGTTTTAACTATTTTTTGTTTATGTATTTCTTTTTCCTTTTCTCTCCCTTCCTATCACCTCTTCCCAATCAGCTTCTTTTCTTTTGACCTCCTTTTCTTCCAAGTTTACAATATGTATTGTTCATTTTGGATCTTACTCTTTCAGCTTCTCATACTAGGGAGAAAACACAGTGTTTCCACATGTGAGTCTGACATATCACCTATGAGTATGTTCTCAAATTTCATCCACTTGCCTAAATATCTCTCAAGTTTATCTTTCTGGCTGAATACTACTCCATTATATAGAATATAATACATGCTTTTTATCCATCAATTGGTCTATGGCATATGTTTTCCTTCCGAGATTTAGTTATTAAAAATTGTTCTGCTATAAACATGGGTGCAGATATATCTCTGTGGTAAATGTTTTTAATTCTTTTTGAAGAATAATCAGGAGAGGGGTGAGTTATTTTGGTCCCCTAATCCTAGATTTTATGCAGTCTCCACTGTGATTTCCACTGTGGTTCTACCATTCTACAATTTATGCAGTGGTACAGGAGGGTTTCTTTTTCCCCACAACCCACCTTACCAGCAGTTGCTATTGGCTGATTCCTTGATGGTAGAAATTCTTTCTAGAGTGAGATGGAATCACAGTGTTGTTTCAATTTGCATTTCTCCAATGACCAATGATTTTGAAGTTTTTGGCACATAGTTATTTGCCATTTGTATTTTTTTTTTATCTGTGAAGTGAATGTTCATCTCAGATGAGCAATTTTGAATTGAGATATTGAATCTGGGTTTGCCTGATTTTATTCAGTTCTTTATATGCTCTAAATAAAAGTCCTGTGTCTGAGATGCATAAAATCCTCAAGAAGATAATACAATATGACCAACTAGGACTCATCCTATGGATGCAGGGATGTTTTTATATACACAAATCACTCTAAAATCAAGAAAGAGATAAAGATGTCAACTATCATTGCTCCTGTTCAATATAGCTCTGGAAAAATTATCCAGAGCAAGCAACAAGAGAATTAAGTAAAGGAAATATGGAAAAAAAAAAACAGAAAAAGTTAAATTATCATTATTTACAGTTGACATGATACTCTATGTAGAAGACTCAAAAATCACCAAAAGACTTATATATTTAATAAACAAATTCAGTATTTTAGATGGATACAAAGCCAGCATTCCAAAAATCAGTAGCATTCTTGTATAAACACAAAGAAGGATCTTAAGGATACCATACCCTTCACAATAGAATCCATAAAATGAAATTTTAGGAACTGATTTAATAAAGGTGACCAAATAGCTATTATATTGAAATTTATATTACTCTGAAATAGGGACAGAAGAAGATATTAGAAAATGGTGAGATATCCCTTGTGCTTGCATAGGAAGAACCAACTGTGAGAATGGCCCTACTGTTTTGCAGCCTGTTATATAGAAATGCAGTATCATTCAAAATATCACTTTCATGCTTCATATAACTAGAGAAAACATTGCTAATATTTATTAGGAACCAGAAGAAACCTTGAATAACAAAAACAAAAACAATTCTAGGTAACAAAGGCAAATCAGAGGACATTACAATCCCTTACCTAAAAATACCCTACAAAGCTACAGTGATAATATCAGTGTGGTACTGGAAAGCATACAGATATGAGGAAAAGTGGAACAGAATATAAGATACAGGTGCAACTTCAAACACACTCAACCGCCTTGTCTTTGACAAAAGAGTCAAACATGTTCACTGGAGGAAAGGTAGTCTCTTTCACAAATGATGATGGAAAATACTATTTTTTCATATGTCAAGCATTAAAACTAAACCCACACCTATCACGATGTGTTAAACTAAAACCAGAATGAATCAAAGATCTAAATATTAGAACAGAAATACTAACTCTATTGGAAGTGAAAATGGGTACAAATATTGAAAACATAGGTGTTGGCAGAGCCTTCCTCAATAGGACCCAAACAGAAGGGCAATTACTTCAATGAATCAACAAATTGAATCTCATCCTAAAAAGCTTTTCCACAACAAAATAAATCAACACAGTGAAAAGGCAATCCACAGAGTGGGAAAAAACTTGTACCCAATTTTCTCTCTCTTTTTTTTTTTTTTTTTTTTTTTAGGAAGTACACATTCTCTGAATATTCTCCAAATTTGTGTCTCACCTCCAAATGTTAACCCATATAAAGGTGCTGATCATTAAAGTTCAATGTTTAAGTGTGCTTATATAAAAGTCTTCAAAATGATAATCTCTGTAGAGGCTAAACAACTGTTTTAAACCTAACTAGATGACTAAATGATGCCTTAAAAAGAGAGAAGAGAGAGAGAGAGAGAGAGAGAGAGAGAGAGAGAGAGACAGAGAGAGACAGAGAGAGAGAGAGACAGAGAGAGAGACAGAGAGAGACAGAGAAACAGAGAGAGACAGAGAGAGACAGAGACAGAGACAGAGAGACAGAGAGAGAGAGAAGAGAAATCATAAAGGCTTAAAATAAAGGTAAGCATATACTTTTCGGAAAAAAGCAAAGCCCTAAGAAACTGTATTTAAACAGATCTTTGTTGAAATAAGTCAACAAAACTGTCTTTATTTGTATTTGTCAGCACTCAAGGAATATGTGTTATTCATCAATTTAACTTATCTTTAAAATTCTTTCATATTATCTAAAAATTGTGAAAAATTTTTGGTCTTTTAGTGATTTTATTAAAATTATTAATGCTTATTCATTATTCAAATTAAAGAGTTTCATTCTTATGTTTTCATACCCGAGTAAGCTTCGCTCTGATTTTATACACTCCTCCACCATCTATTATCCTCCTGTTGTCTATTACTCCACTTTGTCACCTTCTTCTAACTTTATATAATGAGCTGAAAACTATATACATTCGAGAGTCATATGATAAAAAAGGCTTACTTTCTTTAATATTATTTGAATATTAGCATTTATTCAAAAGAACTGATAAAAAGGAAGAATTGTTTTGAATTAGAAGGGAAAGAATAAAAGTATTCCTCACCATAATATAAGCAAAAAATAAGATTAAAAATACACAAGAATAGAAATAAAATCGCCACATGAATAAAGAAAATAAAATTTTAAAAAGGAAAGATGCAACCTTAGGCTTAAAAAATTTTTAAAAATCACTCATATAGGGAGGATATGCAGATCCTCAGTTGTTGGCTGAGTCAATTACATTTCTAGATAGTAATGATTACTTTATTATGAGCCTTAAAACATGAATAAAATTGATTCAGATGTTTCACCACCAGAAAACTATTTAAAATGTTTCCCTGGATCAAACACACATTTCTGAACAAGATCTTGGGCTGAAACACTTTATAATAGAAAAATACAGAAAATAAATGTCTGAACATCATAAATCACTGAAAAACATTTTTGTAGAAAAATATTATGATGCAATTTGAAATGATGTTAAGTGATCTAACGAAAATTTTAATTACATTTATAGTTTAAAAAATCAAAAACCATGTGTGAATGAAATGTCTGTATGATATTTATCATGCTTTATACTTGCATAGGAAAACACAAAATTGAATGCTAACCTTAATAAATAGTATAAACTTTTATAAGATAGTGAGATTATATAGTATACTTATTTTGTCTATATAACTTTTCTTCAAATGTTTGCAAAGGAAACATTATTTTAGAGATGATTTATGTTATGAATAAATCACATTAGAAGAAAAATTTAAGCCACATGTAAAGATGTCACAACTTTTTATAACAACATAAATTGAATTACTGGGCCTTCATTACTGTCTGTTTTCATTTTGGCTCAAATGCCAGAATTTTCAATCTACCTGTGGAACGCTGTAAAGACTTAATACTCGGGAAATCTGGGTTGATATTCCTGTGGAGATGCCTCCTATCACAGCCACCAGCTTGTCCCTCTTCTCAGGCCTGCAGTTGTAATTAGGAACCGGAGGACTCTCTCCTGAAAGCAGAGACAGAGAACTCTCCACGGCCTTCATCTCAATGTAGTCAACGTTGAAGAGGTAGTACCCCAGGGACATATTGGATAGCAGATTAAAGTTCTTATTGATCTCTTCCACAGCAAAAACCACAGCCAGCAGCTGCTGATAGTGCTTGGTAAGTACCCTAAAATACAATGGTGAAAAGATAGTTTTCTATACATTTATTTCCAAGAATATTAATAATCTTGCAATAAAAGCTCACAATTATTTAAGAAATAAAGTCGGCATATTCCATCAAAAATTTTTAGAAATATGGTGGCTAGAAATTCAGAACTACGATCAATTTTACAGTCAAATTCACACATTGCATGTTTTGATAATCATTGTAGCTTTGTCTTAGAAACTGAATTCAGGGAATGAAATAAATAGAAAATGGCAAAACTAAAAGTGTAACATTTTATATATTCTTTTCTTGAATATTAGGATACATTTCAATAAAAATAACATTTTATATTACCCAATAAATACACAAAATAAATGACAACATACAAATTAAAATGACATAAATAATATGTCCACTACAGTAATGTCAACACAATACAAAATATGTCAATAAAATGTCTAACAAAAGTATATATTTATCAGCTGTCAAGCACTTTGCAAGTCTTGTAGGCATTTAAGAAAAATCACAAATGTGTGCATTTTCATAATGTAATACGTAAGGAAATCACACACTCACGCATGTACATACGGTAGAATGTTAAATGTATGTTGGAATTCAAATTTGCTTCTCATGTCTCCAGAAGTGACTCTTAGGGAGAAGAGTCCACCAATAATAAAATCCCCATCTTGATAGTAGCCAGGAGATGCAGGTACACTTAAAGAAAGGTTAACACCTCGCTCGTGAAATATAAAGAAAAGAGCAACAAGCAGAGGAAAAACATTAGATGATTTCATATTAAGTAATGAGGACTAGTATAACTGGCAGAACCAGAGAAATGAATTCTATTAAAAATCCTGCTATGCACTTTGGAACAGCATGTGTTCCAAACCAGAACCTCTCCAGTGAATGCGAGGTATTTATAAAGCAACCACTTTGGTCTGATGTGAATGTAGTAATATGTAAACTTTGTTTTCTAGACAGTTTTTCATGCACCTGCTCAAACTTCAATTTTCTTTCCATACATAGAGACCCTAAGGAGTCATAGATCTCTGGTATTCCATCTGGTGTCCTGTTTTTATAATAAGAAAAACATTTAGTTAAAAACAAACTCCAAATCATCGAAAACTCCCAGGGACTTTTTTTTTTTTTCAGGGATTACTGTAGATACCAAGATAAGTATTGTAAATTACAATGTTTACTTTAACTTCTCAGGAACCAAGAAGCCTCATCTGAATAATGTGTTTATTACTCCAAGGCATTTAATGATGAAACAAATCTCAGATAACAGGAAGGCAAGTATTTAAGCATAAGTTGGATAAACATTATTCATTTGATGTGTAATCATGTCATGATTGTACACTCTCTGGCCAAAGAAGAATTGCATAATATATTGTTTCTATTTGATTTTACAACAAATAATAAGAAAAACCATGGTACAGAATTTCAAAGGGGGGGGGGCTTGGAATTTAGTTCAGCGTCATAAGCTCCTGCCTGCAAGCATGTGGTCGGGAGTTTGATCCCTGGTACCAATTAAGAAATCATAGAATTTCAAAGTAACAATAACAGGAAGTTAAAAATATTTATTGTAGTGCATATCATTATCTTCAATGTAGTAGCTCAGATTACATGAAAGATGATTGCACACTGAAAGAGCAAATTGTTCTTTTGGATGAACTAAATGATATTGCATAATTGATTATGATGCATATATATGCATGCATGTATCTGTAATCTTTTCCCTTGTTCATCTGGGAAAATACCTAAAATGGGAATAGTTGGATCAAAAGAAACCCTCAAACCTAGTTTCCTGATGTATCTTCACCTTGACTTCCACAGTGGTTACAATAGTCTACACTTCTTCCAAAAGTGGAGAAGGGTTCCTTTTTCCCCATAGCCCCTTCAATATTACCTATTCATTGATTTCTTTAATGTTGGCCTTTTTTGGAGTGAGATGAAATTTCAGGGTTATTTTAAATTGGATTTCTCAAATGACCAGAGATTTCAAATATGTTTTCCATATATTTATTTGCCAGTTCTACTTCTTGATCTCAGAAGTAAGTATTCATCTCAGATGCCTATTTTTGTACTGGGTCTTTGAATTTCAGTTTCTGATATTTTTCCATTCTTTATATCTTCTAGATAGAAGTATTTGAGGGGCAGTTTTGTAAAATATTTTCTCAATATGTGTGTTGTCTTTTCACTCTGTTGATGATTTCTTTTGATGTGAAAAATATTTTTAGTAAGGTGAGATCCCAGCAATTTATTCTTTTAAGAGCTCGCTAAGAAGTTTGGGTTTTGTTCATGAACTCTCTGCCTAACCTGTGTCTTCAAGATTTCTGCTGAACTTTTCTTCCAGTAGATATACTGTTTCTACTTTAATATTTAGGTATTTCTTCATCTTTAATAATTTATTGCTTTATGATAAGTATGGGTCTAGTTTAATCTTTGGCGTGTGTAAAGAAAACTTGCCCATCGCCATTTATTAAAGAGACTCTCTTTCTTCCAGTAAACATGGCTTCCCCTTTGACAAAAATGAGGTGGCTGACTGTTTTTGTAGTTGTGTCTGCATATTTGATTCTGCAGTACAATCAGCTAGAGGAGATAAGTTTCTGAAAGTCAGACAGCAGTCAGATGGTTTTAGAGACTTTGGATGTGATCAGTTTTTAAACAATGCAGATACTCAACAGATAGACCATGGGTTATTTGAACTAACTTCAAACCTTTCTGCAGGAGGATACTGTACTCTTTCAGAGTGACCATTGTAGCAGCATGACCACATAAAAGAGTGCATAGAGTTTGCTGGTAACAGACCAGGGTCTCTGACTGAATGGAAAGTTGTTTGACAAAGTCTACACAATGAAGATGCATATTCTGTGACTCAGTGTTTCCTTTGAGGCCTCCTTCAAAACCTGAAACTGCACACAAAGGAATAGAGGATCAGATAGATCAGGCCTGTGTAATGGCCTTCTCACTACAACAAGATCAGTAGAATCAAGAGATCAGTACACAAGTCTCAGAGGGTATCAGTGATTTGGAATAGAAGACAGATTCTAACAGAGACAGATACCAGGATCAGCAGCTTCTGTCATGTCTCTACAAGCCCAACAGGGCTGACAGGCAAAGCTGCTCCATCAAGTGGAAGACAGTCTGCAAACAGTGACCATTAACAAAAGCAACCTCAGAAAATATAAAGAAAATGGAAAGAAAACTCCGGCTGCATTATTTTAGGATTATTTTTCTCTACAATTTTTTTATATTTCCTGTATAAAACCATTGATACAGTAAATTATAATTGAATTTATAAAAATTAAAGAAAACTGAAAGCCTTTACTCTAAAATCACAAACAGGACAAGGATGTCCATTATCACCACTTCCATTCAATATAATGTAGGAAATACTAATGAGAGCAATTAGAGGAGAGAGAAAAATAAAAGGAGTAGGATAGGAAAAGAATTAAATTATCATTATTTGCAGATGATTTAATACTCTACAAAGAAGACCCCCAAAACTCCATGAAAAAGACTCTTAAGTAAAATAACTAAATTCAGTAATGTAGCTAGATACAAAGTCAACACTCAAAAATCAATAGAATTTCTATACACAAAAACAACTCACTGAACAAGAAATATCACAACCCACACCCTTCACAATTATATCCAAAAAATGAGATACTTAGGATTTAATTTAACAAAAGAAGTAAAATACCTATTCAGTGAAATTATAATATCCTGAAAATAGAAATTGAAGAGGATCTCAGAAAATGGAAAGAATTTCCTTGTTCATGAATAAGAACAACTATTGTGAAAATGGTCATTCTTCTAAAATTTTATACAGATTTAATGCTATTCCAATCAAAATGCCCCTAGCATACCTCAAAGATCTAGATAAGGCATCTAAAAATTCACCTGGAACCAGAGAAAGACCTAGAATATCAAAGGCAATTCTGAGCAACCAAGGTAAGTCAGGAGGCATCACAGACCTGACTTGATCTTATGCTAAAAGCTATGGTAAAATCCATGTAGTACTGGAATAACATGAGACCTGAAAAACAGTGGAAAGGATGAGAAGATAAACTACAACTACAAACACTATCAACCATCATATATTTAAATATCACCCTATATATCAATCAATATTATACAAGAATGGGTCAATCATGATGACTGGAAAAAGATAGTTTCTTTAATAAGTGGTGCTACAAATACTGGCGCTCCACATGTCAAAAAATAAAACTATACTGAAGCCTATCACCATGTACTAAATTAAAGTCAAAATGTATCAAAGATCTAAATATTAAAACAGAAATACTAAATATGCTGGAAGAAACAGTAGGTACAATTCTAGAATACATAGTGGTAGGCATACAATTCATGAAAATATCACACTGCATGGGAAATATGTCCCAGAAACAATAATAAGTGGGATCCTATCTTATTAAAATTATTTGGATATCAAAAGAAATGTCCAAAGGAGTAAAAAGGAAATCCATTAATTTTGAAAATGTCTTAGCATACTCTTCCTCAGAAAAATGACTTCTGCCGAGAACATATGAAGAATTAAAATTTCAGATAACCGAAATTCAAAGATCCAACCAAAAATCAGCAACTTAGATGAATAAATAGTTCTCAGATGAAGAAATACAAATGTCAAATAAATACATGAAAAAATAACCAGCATCATTGTTCATTAGAAAAATGAAAATAAAACCACATGAAGATTCCATCTCATTCCAGAAAGAATGGCCAGACTATATAAAAAAAAATACTACCAACAACAAATGTTATGGAGGTTGCAGTGAAAGAGGAGATTTCTATCCTCTTGGTGGGAGTAGAGGCTGGTGAAACACTGTGGAAATCAGTCTTGTGGTTCCTCAAAAAGCTAGAATTGTAAGTCCCATTTGACCCAGCTATTCCACTTCTGGGCATATTCCTAGAAGAACTAAAAACATCATATCACAGTGATATATGTACATGCATGTTTATAGCAGCACAATATGTAATAGCCAGATATTGAAAACAACCTAAACGCTCATCAACTGAGGAATGAATAAAAATGATGTGATTCTTTTATACAGTGGAGTACTACTCAGACATAAAGAATGATCACATTAAGATATTTATAATTAAATGAATGCGACTTGCGACCATATTCCTAAGTGAAATAAATCACACTCACATGTGTAAATACCATATTGTCTCCCTAGTGTAAGAAATGCAAGATTACATAAGATACAAAATCCTCAAAAAATACAGTGAAATAATAAGAATCTGCCCAAAGTGGAAAAATATTATGTCAGATAAATAGGAAAAAGAAACAAAATGGAAAAGAAACTTATTACATTTGTATAAACATACTAAGGATAGCTCAGTTGATTGTTCCACAAGTTCTATGAGTTCTTGGAACAAAGCAGTTTATTCATAGGATTGGTACAATTTTGTATGTTTGTGTCTGGTGATCTGAGCAACTCTTTTGAAGACCACTATGTAAAATAACAACCTTGGTTATGTTCTTACCACCTTGTTTTGAAGGTTTATATCGTCATTGATTTGGGATGTATGCAATTCCTATTTATTTGAAATTTTGTCTTGTTTTTCTAGTAATGTATTTTGTTTGGTTTGTTTTCCCTGTAATGAGGAAAGTATAGGTATATATTTAGAGGCTTATACAAGCCAAGAACTTCTCCTAAACAGTTTATAAGAATCAATAGTATTATACGTGATGAAATGAACATCCATTTTGAAGAAAAACAGACCTTGTGGCATCCAATGCTGATTCTATATCATCATTCTGTAA